TATATATATATATATATATACGAATTCGATTTCAGAACAGCCTATAAAAAGTCATTTTGATATATGAAAGTTTGTTTTAATTTATGTTACACTTTCAAAACAAATGATGACTTTAATCTTATAATATAAAAATAGCGGGCTGTACATAGTTTGATATATCGAGACAGTTATGTCACTAGTACGCGCTATAAATTTGCAAATTTAAAAAAAAACTGGCTGTACTATGCTAACAATTTCAGAAAGATATGTCGCATGTACGAGTTTTAACATTTGCTCTGAAAAAGTCATTTGTTCAATGTATCTTAAATAAATTGATACATTCACAGTTATTTTACTATTATTTTATAAGGCTAATTAATTGTGATAATTTTAGAGGTATCTTTAATATAGGAACAAAATTTTTTTTTTTTAATTCATATAGTCAAATAATTTTTATAACAATTCCTGTACTACACACTTTTTTTTTCATCTAAAAACTAAATTTCTCGTACATTATAATTTATGTATTCAATATTTTTTTGTGGGTGAAAATCCAAATAAGTTATGATAAGAGTCTAAAGTGAAGTGAAATTTATTCCAAAAATCTAGTACATTTAGTTGAATAGGCACAACTAATGGCTATGGTAATTTACAAAAAATGTAGGATATATCTGTGTTTTTATATAAAAATATTTCTAGTGTGAAAAAATAATAACACCGTGTAAAGTATTAATTCTAGTTGCGCTTGTAAATTCCAAAAAAATGGGAACTCATTTAGATTTTAATTTAAAAGCAATTAAAATCACTATTTTAAATAATTTGAATAAGAATGTGCATAAGAAGTTCTCTATTCGTGTTGAGCCTAGTTCTAGGACGAATTAAAACTCTTATTTAGTATAGATAACAAGTGTAGTTAGATAAAGTATCAATTATGACTTTGTTAACAGATATTCTTAAAGTATGATAGTAAGGTATATTGTGGTAATTTTTTAAATACACCAACTGGCTATACAGAAAACACATAAAAAATCAAATAGCTATTTGTAGTTGAATTTTCCGTGTATTATATATGTATATAAACTCAAACATTTTAAAATTTAATTTTAATATCTAATGAAAGTATAAAGTTAAAATTTTCAAGTTATAATAATTACATAATAAAAATTATGAAAATAAAACGAATAAAGTTATGTTAAATATTCAAATGCCATTTACTATTAAAATAATTTTTATGATAATAGTTCTATCATTTTAGCCTAGTTTATATGATTGAATTTCAAATTTTAAATGTCAGATATTAGATTTTTTGTGTATTATAATAATGAATAGATTCCATTTTTGGGAACTGAATTAAAAGTTCCCTAAAATTATTGTGGTATATATTTTTTTGGGGGTTGCGGTAAATTAAATTAGTAATTAATAAATATCTAGCACTACTAAATACTATTTTACGTTAAGTACTAATCTGCGAAATACAATTTTATTAACTTAATAATAATTGTAATTATAATAGTTCTATTATTTTTANATCTGCGAAATACAATTTTAATAACTTAATAATAATTGTAATTATAATAGTTCTATTCTTTTTAATTACAAAATTTAATGGAAATAAAAAGAAAACAAAGTGTATTTATTTCAATATATTTATTATTAACATTAATGTAAAATAAAAATAATAATTTTACTAATTACATATAAGGTATAAGATTAAGTTTAGAGAACTCGCATGTAGTCCCTACTCTAGGTATTTATTACCAAACTAGTTGACCCGAGATGAGATTTTTTCTGATACTATTATCGTTATTGTTGTAAAAAAAATGCTAATTAATCACAATAATTTTCATATTAATAAATAAAGATCGATTCATTTTTTTACCGTTTTATCTTTTTTAGGTACTTTCGTACCCCGAAAGAAAAAATTATTTTAAACAATAAGTAGTAACTCACCCCACCCAACAAAAATTATTATTTTATGTGGGGTTAATATGTACCTATGTTTAAGCTTCTAGACGATTTGATTTTCAAAAAATTGTTTTATAATGTTAATAATTAATTTAAATTACCATCTATACAATATTAAAATTATGATATCTTACCTGTGAAAAAAACTAAATGTATGTTTTGGAGAGTATTTTTTGATTTTTCATAAAAAAAATAATACCATGTTTTTTCCAATTGAATAAATATAATATATAATCTCTTCATTTATTTTTTTCAACAATTATTTAAATTTAATGATTCAATAAAATTTAAATTAACATAGGNGTTTAATGATTCGATAAAATTTAAATTAACATAGGGAAATATATGTATTTCACTCTTGTTGTGACTAAAGAATAAGTATAATATAGAATACTGTACTTTAGTAAAATACATATCCAAGATAAATAAATGAATTAAATTATATGCTAGTAACTAAAGAAAACTTTTAGCACTTACATTTAGTTGGCAAAACAAATTTAATAATTCCAACATAAATACTAGCTGATATCGTCACGGCATTTTATATAGGCAAATTAGCTACATGTGTGTACACATTGCTCACAATTTTGTTCATAATAATGTTTTTTAACATAAATGGTTTTGCAAATTCGTAGTACCTTTTCAATGACTTTATTATTTAATTTTAACACCTGTGATAAAACGATCGATCATCATTAATCCACTTCTACAACCCCTTACATCAGCGGTTCCCAAACTTTTTTAGCTCACGGCGCCCTTTTTGAACTAAACTTTTCTCAAGGCGCCCTTCCCAAGACATAGCATGACTAATCATAAAAAATGAATAAAAAAACAAATAAAAACCAGACAATTTTTTAATTATAATACAAGAATATTTATTTAATTTAGTTATATACTTTTTACACATTTTAATTATTTTTGAAGATTTACATTTACATTTATATTTAGAGGTCGAAATAGATAGGTATAAAATTAATGTGATGGATGTGCTTGCATATCACTGCACATTTTTTCAAATCTTGGAATTAAACAAGACACAGCTACTCTCATTTCTTTTTCAACATTGATTTTGGTTCGATACTTGCTTTTTATTACTGCAACCGCCGAAAACCCAGCTTCACACAAATATGATGTCGAAAACGGAATTAAAATACGTTGAGCCTTATCACTTAAAAGAGGATATTCATCTTTNTTTAAGTTTTTCTATCAACTGATCATTGAGATCATCTGCCATATGGTGAATTCGGCGACTAATTGTATTATTAGACAACGGCACTTTTGAAAGTAATTTCCCAGCCGATTCGCCAATCATAATGTTTACCATATCTAAAGCAGCTGGTAGGATAAGCTCTTCTGCAATTGTATGAGGTTTCTTACATTTTGCGATTCTAAAAGCAACTTTATAAGAGGCTATCAATGCATTGTTTGGTATTGATGCATTATTAAAAAATATACTTTTTTCCTGTTTTAGTTCTTTCCTCTTTCTATCAAAGTAATCGCGAGATTTTCCAACCGCATACTTATGATTCGTTTCCAAATGGCGCTTCAATTTACTTGGCAACATGCATTCTGGTGCTAAAACTTTCATACACAATACACATAATGGTCTTTCTTCACCATTCACTTCTGTAGAAGTAAAACCAAATTCCAAGTAACTATCATCATACTTCCGATATTTTCGTTTTTTTACAGTCGGGCTGTTACTGGTTGAGGGTATACTTTCCTCCTCTACACAACGATTATGACTGTTCAATAAAAATCGATCCATGATTTACAAAAATTAACAAAATTTCTATATAAAAACGACGAACACGATAGAGCAACACACTACGCGAGACTGGCGGTCATACTAATCCGAAAACAAATTTTATCAAACATCTTATAAAGTCATGACTATGGTCTAAAAATAAATTTAAACTCATTAATGGTGGTGGTTATAATGCGATNTTTAAACTCATTAATGGTGGTGGTTATAATGCGACAGAACCGATAACGATAAACAGTTTATCAATTTTGTGAAGTCGGAGACATAAAAATTATTTTTCTCTACCGATATTATAGTAATCGGTTTTGTCGCATTACCCTCGCCGCCGTTATCGAGTTAAAATTTATTTTTAGACCAGGTAAATTTCTACGACGACGCGGCGCCCCTGAAAAGACATCGCGGCGCACAGTTTGGGAACCACTGCCTTACATTGATTTCATTGACACCTGTTTTTATATAAAAATATATACGTTTCAAGACATTTATAAAGTTTATTAATGTACATCAATGATAACAAAATATTCGTGTTTGTTATTCTTTACAATAAATAATGTTTGTTTTTATAATTAAGTTTTATACACTGGACTACAAGGAACTCTTTTTAATGATACATAANTGGACTACAAGGAACTTTTTTTAATGATACATAAAATGATCACAACTATTATCTACTTAAAGAATTTACCTTCTAAAGTTGAAAAAAATTCCAATTTATCAATTAAAAAGTTACTTAGCCCACATTCTCCATATAGATAATTAAAATCATTCATTTTTAATGTTTTCAAAATTATTTATTTTCAAATTAGGTTTGATAGGTTTCAACTACAAAATAAAATAATTGTACTTCATAATATATTAATTTTTTAACTTTATTTGTGTGTGATACTAACAGTCTATAATTTCCAAATGTTTACATGATAGATCAATCCATGAGAAATCGTCCAGAAGTGTTTGCACGACCACCTAATTTTTTTCTTAAATTTTGATTGTTTTATTCTTTATGCTATATTTGATTGAAACAATTTTTTATTATGACCTTCCCATTTGTATGACTATTTTAACGTAAAAAATGTTAAAAACAGCCAGACGTTAAAAAACACAGGTTATTCAATATTAACTCAATCAAATTAAAATTTTAGAAATGACCTTGTTATGTCGCTATTTAGGGGTTGAACCTAAATGCACGTCAACAGTATTCTAAGGGACCAACGGGGTATAGCTGGCTAGGCTATATCTACCTTAGGTACTGGGGTTTCCTATTTAATTTATATAGCCTTAGAGAAACTACCAAGGGTCGCACTACAATATATATACAGAGTGTTCAGTAAGTCAGGAAACGGGTTTCTATTGTTCTCATTGTTACAAACAATGAGAACAATAGA